AACTCTAAGATATACCCACTTGTATATTGATGATGATTATTAAGGATATCTAGAAGAACTCTAAGATATACCTACTTGACCAATTCATATTTCGGGTTAAAACGTACGTACGGGATCCAGACCGGATATCACCCACCCGACAAATCATTGTTCGGTTGGTACGTAATCCACATGACTCATAGGGTGGATTATCGATTCTTGTGTTCTGCATTAAACTATTTATAGTTTAAGGGCCTGGTTAGAATTACTGCCTTAGACTAGGAATAGCTAAGAGCTGAATATAAAATGATGTGGTCTTAGATTAAGAATAATTTAAGAGCATTATTGATATATATTGATTATCAAATGACTTGGAATAAAATATTGAAAATATTTTGAATGTTTGAACCATATATTGTGTGCATGATATCAGATGGTTGATTATGAATTGAGATTCAATTTATGTGGATGTTCGACGTTTTAGATATTCTTACTCAGCTTCACCGCTGAGCGTGTAGTATGTTTTATTTGCTACACGCAGGTTAACAGAAAGATTAATGTGATTCTGGCGACAGATGGGGCGAGATTGTCGGGATGGATGTGACAAGTTTTGAAATGATTTATGATATGTCAATATTAAATTCGCTTCCGCAATATTGTTAAATACTCCGTACTGTATATGTTATGAAAAATATTATTGAGATTAATAAAGTGTGTTTTAAAAGTTTTAAATTTTACGATTACCAAGTTAAATACTTTAGTCCGAATGGGGCTGCAGACCTGGACGGATTAGGGTGTTACAAAGCATATGCAGTGAGTGTAGTTAGAAGATTCATGGGACAACCAGGGAGAGAACACTGGCAGGCTGTGAAGAGGATTTTCCAGTACCTTAAGGGTACATCTGACGTTTGTCTCATTTATGGAGGTGATACTCAGTGTTTGGTCATAGGATTTTCTGATTCTGATTATGCTGGAGATGTTGACACGAGGAGATCGATGACTGGCTATGTGTTTACTCTCGGAGGTTCTGTCGTTAGGTGGAAGGCAACCTTGCAACCTACGGTGACTTTGTCAACTACGGAAGCAGAGTACATGGCCTTGACAGAAGCTGCAAAGGAAGGAATTTGGTTGAAAGGGCTGGTTAGTGATCTCCGTTTGCATCATGATAAGGCTACAGTGTATTGTGACAGTTTGAGCGCGATTTGTCTAGCCAAGGATCAAGTCCATCATGAGAGAACCAAGCATATTGACGTGAGGTATCATTTCCTGAGGAGTGAGAGAAGAATCCAGGTGAAGAAAGTAGGAACTGCTGATAATCCTGCTGATATGTTCACAAAGCCGGTTCCGCGAAGCAAGTTTCAACACTGTTTGGACTTGCTTAACATCAGAAGCTGTTAGTTGCCATGTGGGGCAATTCTGAGGAAGAGAGGGAGATCTGGTCTGAAGAATCTGTATGAAGAATTCAAGTCAAGGTGGAGATTTGTTGTAATGCCTTGAATCTGATCTGTTACAGCTCCAAATCCGGAGAAGTCCAACTTCTGAAAAATCCAGATCCGGAGAAGTCTGGCTTCTGAGAAATCCGATTTCCGGAGAAGTCGAGAAATCCGAATTTCGAGAAATCCGAATCTTGAGAAATCCGAACCCTACTCTATTTGGGCTTCTAATTATCTGTTAATTCTGTAGTTTTGGGTCCAAGTCTGTTCGGGTTTAGCCAAGCACTATTTATATGGGTGCTAACACAAACCCTGTGTGGTATTCTGTATTCTGTTTTTGCCTCTCCATCAGAAATAAAACTGCTCCCCCTCTTCCCCCGTGGACTAGCCAACACAACGTTGGTGAACCACGTTAAATCTATTTCTCCTTGTGTTATTCATGTAAAGTGTTAAATAAAATGTGATTTTCTTTGTCTTATGTATCCTATAGGCCGTATAGGGTTCTACTTCAATAAGAAGTCCAATTTCTAAAACTATGCTGCTCTCAGGCTTCTACATTCCTAAGTTTTTGTTAAGCTTTCTACATGTTTGAGTAGTAAGTAGTACGTAGTAGTTTTGAATATGGGCTGTAACTATCTTCTTTTCTTCATCATTTTTATTAATTAATTTCTATAGCTCAATAAAATGTATTGTGTGTTCTTAATAAAATTTTTGTGTGCAAGTACATTTGTAGTAGATAGATTAAACTAGTATTATTATTTTTTTAATTAGAACTTGCTTTAGACATCTTGTGTCTAAAGTATTATCCAGAAATATAATAATAACGTTAGACAATAGATATTTATCCGTTGTAAAAAAAGATCCAATTTTAGACAAAAATTTTTATCCGCTATCCAAAATATGGACTTTCAAATGTATTACAATCCATTTTAAAACGCGAGACATTTAGGCTTTGTTTGGTAACAGCGTTTTCGATTAGCGTTAGCGTTTTGGATAAAATTTTAACGGTACAGATTAATTCTGAAAACACTAACGCTAAAGGCTACCGTCGGATAGCTTTTTCAAAACGCTAACGCTAATCTCTGACGCTGATGCCAAACGGGGCCTTAAACATTCAAATTTATATATGCCTTTTTCGCAAAGATCATTATAGTAACATTCGAATGTAATATTTTCTACTCCCTCCGTCCTATATCTTTCTTCCCATTGCGCAAAACGAAGAAAAATCCCAAGTTTTTTCAATCTATTTTATTTAAATATTGGTATAGAAATAAAAAATAAAACATACATATTTAAAAACTACATCAAAAGTTCAACAAAACAAGTAGTGACAAGAATATTTTATTTTATCATATAGGCCATGAAAAAACACAAATAAATATAAATTCCCGTGAAGTTGGAATAGTGCTCTGGGAAGAAAGTTTTAGGACGGAAGGAGTAGATTTTAATGTAGCCCATATTTTGGAAGGCACCCAAAGAAAAGAAATCATCCCAATTAATTGATTTTAAAGGTTTAATTGTTTAAAGCATGGTCGAGCTGAGTGTCTTGAATCGAATCCTAAATTCTATCCGTGCAGTTGGCAAGTATTACTCCGTATTTCATTAATGGTGTAAATCAGATTTATGTGGATATTTTTTCTTCTCAAGGGAAGCTTCTTTGTGACGAATGCAATGGAAAAGAAAGTATGAAAGCTTTTCTTGGGTAGAGAGAATAGAAGATAACTTGAAATCGATCGAAACAAGCTAGAAAAAAAAATCGAACTGAAAAAACAGAAACCGAATGTATAAAAACCGAACCGAACCGTTAGTGTTTGGTTCCGTTTTGGTTTTCACTTTAAAAAACCGAATAGGACCGAATAAACTGAACTTTCTTAGATACTTCACATTATTTATATGAATATATATGATATGTAAAAAAGTCATAGCTAGAAATATAATTTTACTAGTAGATTAAAATTATTAATTTACATATTTACATAAAAAATACATTGATGCTATCATGAAAATGAAAGTATTATACCAAAAAAGCATAAATTCTTCGTAATTGATTTTACATACGATGTCTTTGAAAGTATTTGGAATCTTTTAAATGTTTGTTGGGCACCCAACACATATTTTTTATGTAAAATTGAACAAAAAAGAACAATAACCTTCCGTTCGGTTTTTGTTTGGTGTAAAAATCAAACGAAAAAACCAAAGCTAACACTACATCATGTTATTGTTTCATCGAGTTAGTGTTTTTACAATTTTTTAATGTTTATAAATTTTTACTTTTATAAACCGAAAAAACCGAAGTAAAAACCGAACCGAGTAACCAACGATTTACATATTTAATATGCAAAATCGAACCTAACCGAACCGTCAATTACTTTCCGTTTTGTCTTTGGTTTTGGGTGAAAACTGAACCGCCAAAACCGAACCCAGCCCTAAAATCAACCACATCTTGTTGGAATGTCATCCCACATTAGAAGTTCAAGAGCAAAATAATTGGTATATAAGCTCTTGAGTTGAACTAACTAATCGATTCGATTCAATCTTTTAATGTGGTTCAGCCCAAGTGTTTTATAGCCCAATCCAGTTGTTCATACCCATCCTAAATTCTATCATGGTATCGAAGCAGGTTTTGGCCCACCTCGTTTGTCAAGGTGTCCATCTAGACTTTCATTTGAATGTGGGAAAGATTTTTATTCTAACAAACGGATGATGGATGCTAAATCATGCTGTGTATAGAAACCGAAAGGAATCGCCGCTATGAACTCTGAGTTTTTTTTCCTTTTGGGTGATGATAGTCGCACCCCATCCAATATCAAATACCAAATTCACTCCACACACTAAATTCATTCCATTAATTTCTAAATTACTTTTAATCCATGAGCTCATATGGAGCATTTTACAATTTTAAGCATTTTGAAAAACTTATATCGAATAATATAACTTTATACACTACAAAAAAAACGCGGCATTGGCACGGCATTTGGCACAGACGGTAGTATAAAATATCCGTGACTTTCTGTGTTGGCACGGAAATTTGGAGCTGCCAATTACGGGGCTCCAAAAACATTGGCACGAGATCCCGTCCGTGCCTAAAATTTGGCACGGCGTTTAGCACAGAAGCGTCGTTCCAACCTAACGCCACTAACAGTTTAACGTTTAAGTTATTGGCACGGCGCAGACCGTGCATCAGTTCGTGCCTAATTGAGCATGGACAGGTGGCACGATACTTTCCGTGCCATAATTTTTTTCAAATTTGAAAATTAAAAGAGGCGCCAATACCTCAAATTCGAATATTGAAAATTTTAAATTTTAATTTTGGCACGGCCTATATCCGTGCCATTAGTTTGACTTCTAAATAGTGTTTTTATGAATATTTTAATTGCACGTTATTTAAATTGATTTGGCCCGATAAATATCCGTGCCTAATGTTACAAAAATTAAAAATAATACTTTTTTTAAAATTTTGAAGAAATAAATAAAATCAAATTAATCTATTAAACAAACACATAAATATAACTAAACATTAAAACATGTTAAGCATCACAATAAAAAACATGTTCAACATCACAAAAAATAATATGTTCTACATCATAATAAAAAACACAAACACCACAAGCAAATAATCTTCAACTGGGTCGGAACCACGGCTCCGCTCCTTTTTTCACAAAAAACATGTTAATAATCTTCAACTGGGTCAGCCCCACTTTATCCTCCACCTCCTACAAAAAAATTAATTTACTTCAAACGGAATAACCAAAAAAACAGAAGTATTTGAAACACAAAATAATTTACTTACCATCTTTTTCACATGCTCCCTTACTGAGCGACGACCACTGTAGTATTGCCTCTGTTTAGCCTTCTTAGTGTTTTTGTTCTTGCTCGACTTCTCGCTCTCGAATTTCTTTTGAGGCTGTTGTGTATGTATGCCATGGTCCATGAAAATTTCCCTTAATTATGAGTTTAATTGAGTCTAACACAGACTGAGTCCTGTATAGTTTAATTCGGAAAAAATAATCACACATTTAGATGATATAAAAAATTAAATATATTGAGAATAAAAGTTAAACATATTGAGAATGTTAAAAAATTAAATATACCCTTTAGTTCTGAAATAGTGATGCATCGTGAAAGGCCCTCATATTGAGAATCATTTACCATTCCTCTAACCTCGCCTTGGGACTCGCCTCTTGCCTGGAATATCGGCTGCGGCGTAGTCCCCGTCGATGGGGACTCTGGAGGGGCTCGAGATTCATTTGTATTGTTGAAGCTTCCTCTTCCCCGAATGCTTCTGCGGAAGCTTGTACTCCGTGTAGAAGATATTTGCAAAAATTGTGATTGACGTACTCGGGAAAAAGTGGGGATGACGCTTGCCGGCGACCGGAGTAGTCTAAGAACGAAAAAATGGAGGGTTGATGGCGAAGGAGAAGGGTTTTTTGGACGGTGGCGTTGGTTGGAGGAGGGTTTTTGGACGACTAGGGGAGCAAAGAAAAAAAGGTTGATCCGGGCTTTATATATTTTCTTGGTTGGCACGAGAGTAGGCACGGACGAGGCGTGCCAAAAGCTAATCCCATTAAATCTGGTTGTCAGAAGATGCAGTATGTTGTCAGGGATATGTATAGGCATGGCTATAAGCACGGCCTTTACCGTGCCAATGTTGATTTGCAATCATGCCACTGCCAACACCTAGACAAAGTTCTCATGATTTTATTCGAAGAATATTTTATTTTATCAAATACACAATGAATATTTGTTTAGAAATAAAAAATAAAAATTACATATTTAAAAACATACATCAAATGTTGTGGGAAACAAACAAAGTTCTTGCGATTTTAACTTCTCATTTTGACTTTTGAAGTCAAACTTTTTAAACTTTGACTGTATATTACAGAAAAAATATATTCAATTTTCATATAAATTTATTATCAATAGATTCATTTTGAAACATAGTTTTGAAATATATTATTTTTATAATATATATTCATATAAAAATGGAGATATTAATGGTCAAAGTGTCACATTGGAGACATATTCATTTTGACTTTTGAAGTCAAACTTTTTAAATTTTGACTGTATATTACGGAAAAAATATATTCAATTTTCATATAAATTTATTATCAATAGATTCATTTTTAAACATAGTTTTGAAATATATTATTTTTATAATATATATTCATATAAAAATGGAGATATTAATGGTCAAAGTGTCACATTGGAGACCGTGAAAAGTCAAATGGAAGTTAATTTTAGGACGGAAGGAATAATATATATCTATACATAAATAGAGAAATATTAATGATTAAAGTGTTGCATTGAAATAATTAAAAAGTCAAATAGAAAGAATTTTTTGGAAGGGGAGAGTATAATCTAAACAAATGCATATTTAAATTAATAAATAAGTACTTTACTTTTTAATTTATAAAACTTGATAATAAGAATACTTACCAGAAGGATATAATCAAATTGAAACACCGGAAAACTACTTGCAGGAACACCAAATATATTTATTGTCCTGTATTTCATCAAAATAATGCATATAATATTTTTTCTAATAACATATTTATAACAGGGCTGATGTTCTTATATAGGAATTTCAGAACCAGTTTTTTGGCACGCATTGTAGGCATGACTGTTTTAAAAAGTGAAAACAATTATTGGCATTCATTAGGCACGACATTTGGCACGGCATATCTAGAATTAGGCACGGAATTTGGCATATCTTCGTCCCAGCGAGTTATTAAAAATTAACGTTGCCCGACGGCAACGAAACGGCGTAAAGGTTGTGAAATTGGCACGGACAAGGTAGTGCCAAATTCAACCTCGCACAGCATTGCGCCATGTGGCATTTTCTCTCCATCGGCAAAGGCACGACGCAATCCGTGCCTAAAAATCCGTGCCTAATGCGCGATTTTTTTGTAGTGATATTTTTATTTTACTAAAAATATTTTTAAATTTTAGATATGATATCTTTATGAAATAAAAGTTTTAGTTTTAATAATGATGCACATTTATTAATATTTATAAAAAAATGGTGTTCTTGAAAGTAATAAAAGAGATCAATAATAATGGTGAATAGTTTTAAAAGTTATTGATGGATACCCCGGACACGGGGTATCCGGTCTTTGTATTATATTAGTTGGGGCGGTCCAGTTTGTGAGATCGGCCCGGCGTTCATTAATTACTTATTTAGGGTGGCCCAGCATGTTGGGCCGGCCCATTGGTCTTTGTATGTAAACCCTAGCCTAACACTCCCATTATATATACCCCTCTTCTTGGAAGAGGGAAGGGGGGAGAGAGCTCATTCGACACACTCCGGACTTACGTTCTAACTGCTATTCCAACTAGCACAATGCGATCCTCAGTTTTACTTGACCCCATACTTTATGCACTCGTACTTAGTTCGATACTCTTCCGCCTAGTTACCTAGGACCCCGAGTTCCATAACCCAACATTGGTGCTTCCATTGAGAGTGTCGAACACATCAAGCGTGCTCCAAAAAAAAACAACCGAATGGTTCTTCCAGATCTTCGTGGTGGGATTCGGTCGCTGGTCTTGGATTCCTCACCATCGCCGACCAGATCTGTCTTTGGCACACGGAAGACCACCGCCGGCTTCGACGGGCGTGCCTCGCCGTAGATTAGCTGAGGAGGTACCGGATTGAGTTCGCCGGCCATCGCCACCACTAGGAAGGTCCAGATCTTCAAGTCACCACCCAGCGCCGGCTTCGAAGCACGACGGAGAGCTTCGCCGTAGATCTGCTGCAGATTCGTCGTCCAATGAGCCAACTGTTGATCCCCATTGGTCGTCGCGTCCGTACGGTCGTCGCTGGTGGACTGTGTGGCTAGAACAACAGCAGCTTTAGATGTGATAACGGCTCCGGATTTGACGGCGGTCAGGGGCGTCGCTGTCGCTACGGTCCACAGTCTCCTTCGAGAACCGGCGACCAGCGGCGTGACCTGCAATCCCTGCCGCCGACGGGAAGACAGCGTGGAGACCCCAGCACGTGCTCCCTTCCTCCAATTGGAAATTGAAGCTGCTCCCCCAGACGGTCCTTGACGAAGCTACTGCAATTGGGGTTTGAATTTTCTTATTTCACACCGTTTCCTACAGCGGGGCTGAGCGTACTCCTCTGCCGCCGCCGGATGGTGCTTATTCACGCGCAACCTCGGGTCGAGTTCCTGGCTGTTGTGTTGCGTCGAGTGCACTCTAGACAGACCCGAAATGCCGCCGCAGGTTGCCGAGACGGGCTGGAGCACGCCGGCACTGATGGTTGAAGCTCGCCGGTGCCATCACTGAAGCTAGCCGCTGGACATAGACCCTACCCCGTGACATGATGCGCGATGTGTCAGCAAGAAAAGAGCTGCTTTCACAGTTTCCTAGGCCGGAAGAAAAGACAGAAGGGAAGAAGAAAGTGGGGCCTCCATATAGAATAATTGAAAAGGAGACCACATTCAAAGTTCGGACTAGGGAGCAACAAAAAAAAGATAAGTTTTTTACACCTAACATATCATTTCAACTATTCCATATTTATTATTATTTTTACCATCATTTCAATATGGTAATTCCTATCATTTACTCCATTATTATTACTATTACCTTGTCCACCACATGTGATCGGACCTCACTTGGACGATGGTATTACACTTTGTGTTCAACACTTTAAGCCCTGATGTGGGACGAGTGCAAAGCTTAACTTCACACCCCACACAGGCCAGCGACCTGCCTCAGAGCATGGCTCAGATCCAACTCATTTAGTCATTCCTTAGCAAGGCCGGGTAAAACCTCTGTACGAGGTGCTGAAGATCATCCGCGACGATGTTATCGCGAGGCCGAGGTAAGCCGTCCATCTCGACGCACTCCTATATATCCGTCTTTCACGACGCGATCTCATTTCCTCTTCCGCGAGGCCGAGGTAAGACGTCCACCGCGACGCACTCCCATCCGTCTCCCACGACGTGATTTTATTTCCTCTTCTACGAGGCCGAGGTAAGCCCTCCCCGCGAGGCACTCCAAATCGTCCGCGACGATACTATTCGCGAGGCCGAGGTAAGCCGTCCATCTCGACGCACTCCTATATATCTGTCTTCCACGACGTGAACTATATTGCTCTCGGATCTAAGGCGAGGGGTGCATCATTTGTGCCTATCTCACTTACCCGAGTAGCTCTCATTTGAAGACCCCGGTCTCACTAAGGATGACGTCAAGGTTTGTTCTACACCAGACTACTACACGATCGGCGCACTCCATTGATCAGGCCTATCTTTTGTCCAAAACTTTGGACCCAACTCATATGTTGACTTACTTTTTTCGTCCGCGTGGTGATCGGCCCATCCGAGCCCGCGAGCGCCTTGTGTTCTTTTTGAAGTTATTTTGCAGGTTAAAAGGATGAGAAGACTAGGCTCAGCCTCAGCCACCGCGTGAGGCACTCGAGCTCGGCCTTAGCCATCTCGTAGGGCACTTATGCTCGGCCCCAGCCAATCAAGCTCGGCCCCAACCACTCAAGCTCAGCCCCAGCCGCTCAAGCTCGGCCTTAGCCACTCAAACTCGGCCTCAGCCGCTCGAGATCGGCCTCAGACACTTAAGCTCGTGAGGGAGCCAAAGAATCCCACCGGAGCCGAGAATGGACACTACTCCCCTTCACCTCGGAATTCTTCTTCGGTTTAGGGAGTGGGGGACTCTGGGTGCTCGGCTCGAGATTGTTACATCTCACATCAGGAGAGGTTGGTGGTCGACATCCCAACCTTGTATCAGACCGCAGCAGTCCATGTCGGCATGCACTCGTCGGCAAGATTCACACAGAAGACCTCACACCCCAACAATGTTTTCTTGATCCACTCTGTGGGACGAGATGTACTCTTTTCTTGACCGAGGATTTTTTCCCATCCTCATGGGTTTTTTCCTCGGCAAGTTTTTAATGAGGCATCCCCCGTGGAGTGGGTCATACATTGACGGGGATGTGGGTGGATCTATGAAGATGACGACCTATTCATCCACTCTCACGGTGATTGCTACACTCTGGACAGTGAACCGACAATGTACAAAGTACGAGAGCTGATCATTTCAAGACAATGAGCAGAGTATGTGTTTCTTCTTGCCGTTCCGGACAGCGAGTTGGCATTATGTTCCTGACCTGTTGCGTTGTTTGCCTTACTTCACCATGCTCGGGACGTCAAGTTGGCGATGCATTCCGTACAGCAAGGAAGACGGTGTCCTTCCGTGGCGGATTGTTGCTCTACTTCCACTTCACCTCGAGTTCCTCTCGGCTCGGAAAGTGGGGGACTCATGATGGATACCCCGGACAGGGGGTATCCGGTCTTTGTATAATATTAGTTGGGGCGGTCCAGTTTGTGAGATCGGCTCGTTAGGCGTTCATTAATTACTAATTTAGGGTGGCCCAGCATTTTGGGCCGGCCCATTGGTCTTTGTATGTAAACCTTAGCCTAACTCTCCCATTATATATACCCCTCTTCTTGGAAGAGGGAAGGGGGGAGGGAGCTCATTCGACACACTCCGGACTTACGTTTTAACTGATATTCCAACTAGCACAATACTATCCTCAGTTTTACTTGACCCCATACTTTGTGCACTCGTAATTAGTTCGATACTCTTCCGCCTGTTGGACATGAGTTCAAACCCCTTTTCTATTTCTTCTGGAATATTTTTTGTTTTGATGAATGAAAAACAGGATGATTAATTTCCAGCTGATCGAAAATTTATTTTTCGTATCGAGAAAAGCAAAGAAGGGTATCAAGAAGTTTATGGCAATATAAATCGACAACCACCCCTACGCAGATTTTTTTGAAGTGAAGTGAAGACTCCGAAGACTTTTTTATTTTAGTCTAGGAATTTTTGTAAGGATGACATTATCTTCTGCACAAACAAATTAATTTCTGAGGGATAAAAAATTTTATTGAGTCAGTTGAAAAATTACTTTTCCTCTGTCTAAAATATTTTTATTGAGTCAGTTGAAAAATTACTTTTCCTCTGTCTAAAATATTTTATTGAGTCAGTTGAAAAATTACTTTTCCTCTGTCTAAAATATTTTATTGAGTCTGTTTCAAATAAGTGTGTCAAAATTTCTTAAAAGCATTCTTTTAAGATTACACAATTTTTTTGGTAAGAAAAATATACTTTAAATATTTTTCGTGTACATCGTTTGACACACAAAATAATTTTTGGACTTTCATTTTCTCCCCTACTCAAATTCATTGAGTAGGAGCGTCCGTTGTCCGTTGATATTCCCGTTGTCCAAAACAACGAGTTAGAAGCCAAAGGGCTTCCAATCGCACTTGTCTAAAATAATCGATTAGATCCAATTTCACAGCGCTGGTTTTCTCAGGCAAATCAACTTAATCGATTAAAATTATCACTTTAATCGATTAGTTTAAACAGAGCAGAATAATCGATTATTCCCTCGTTTTTAATCGATTAATTCCACGTTTGGTTTCAAGCCTTTTCACTTCTGTACACTTTAATCGATTAAAATTCCTAAATTAATCAATTAATTCTGTCTGGTGCATATCATCAGCTTTTCTTCAACAGCTTTATTTTCCTCAGCCTATTTAATCCCTCATTCTCCTTCATTTCTAAATACACCTCTTGCACTCCAATATATTCTTTGAGCTATATTCATCCTTTGCTTCATCTTCCTCATCAAAATATTTTTTTTGAGAGTTAGAAATATTTTCTTTGAGTGCTAAAGAAGTTGTCATCCATAGAGCTTAAATTCTTCAACACTACTTTGCTCAATTGTGTGAGCTTTCATTCTTGTGTTGTAAACTCAATCTCTTTTGAGTGTTGTTCTTAAGACTTGTGTGACTCAAGTCTTGTTGTTGTAAGAAAGTGAGGCTTGTGTCATTCAAGTTCTCAAGTTGTACCGGTTTTTCAAGCACCCGTTGAAGCTTGAAGATTAGTAGGACTTTCGAGAGAGTCTCTCGGAAGACTGGATTAGCCACGAGGTGGTGAACCAGTATAAATCTCGGTGTTCTTCTTTCCCTTACTCTCTTTATTTATTTCTGCGATTCTATTATTTCACACACGCGAAAAACGCACATTCTTGAAAACAACTCTATTCACCCCCCCTCTAGAGTTGCACATTTGTCTAACAATTGGTATCGGAGCAGGAAGTTCTTCGAATACGTTATTTTTTTCAGGAACTAAAAGATCAAATGGCATCAAGAAT